ATCACAGGAGGACTTTCTGATGAGAGAATGAGGATGATCAATCTCAACCCTTTGACTAAAAGATTTACTTAAAATCATTAACACAATCACTAATAGTGATGGTGGCGACATTAGCAATCATGATTATAGTAATGGTTGTCATTGCCATCATTGTTGTCACTTGCATTATCATTATTACTATTACTACCGTCATCACAACCACTATTACAACCACCATCACTACTATCATTACCAAGGCAATGGTGATGGAAACAATTGTGTTTGTGATTTTAAGTCTTTAAATTTATACCATTTATTTAAATCTAAAGGTTGAAACTAATCATTCTTATTCTGACGTAAGGGGGGAGAGGAGCGTATCATAGGAGAAGGACCTTCTTACATGAAAATGAAAATGATCAATCACAATCCTTTAATTAAAACAATAATTAAAATCATTAACACAATCGTCATTGTCACCAGTAGTGATGATGGCGACAATGGCAATCATGGTTGTAGTGGTGGTTGCCATCGTCATCATTATTGTCACTTTCTTTATCATTATCATGACCATCGTCATCAATACCACCATAAGAATCAATGTCACCATCACTACTACCATTACCACTACCATTACTATCATCATCATAACTACTATCACCACTACCATCACTATCATTACCAAGTCGATGGAGATGGTGGCAATTTTTTTAGTGATTTTAATTAACTCTTTAAATCTAAGGGTTGAGAATTTGAGATTGAACATTCTTATTCTCATGTAAGAATGTCAATCTCATATGATACACCCCTATACATGCTAAAGACATTAAAGGAAATGTATAACTTCAGAATTTGAATTTCATCTCCATCCTCTTTTTCTATTTTCCATCATACCAAGAGGACAACTATATCTAATTCAATGTTTTGAAAGTTGCAGTTCCTTCTCTCATCTGCCAAAAAATTTTCATACTAGTATACAGTCAAAGGTCAAGAGGATCCAATTCTACCTATTAATACTAAACATATGAACCACATTGCAACTGCACAGCCAAGGTAGCATAATCAGAGAGATACTCAACAATCACTTTCTTATCCAAAATTTATTAAGTTTGGAAAATTGTTTCCAAAACAAGTGTTTCGAAAACCAGAAACATTCGGGAGATTTTTTTTGCATCCTCTGTTTCTGTTTTCTTCAAGAGTTCATTGAACAAACTTTAGAAAACAGCAATGTGTTCAGGAGTCAAACGGTTTTAAACGTGATCACCGGACAAACAAATTAAAAAAAATTGAAAACTGATTCTGAGTAAACAAGCAAGGCCATAATATATAGCAATAAAACTTTTCAGTGTGCAATGAGTGACGGCGCGCAAACAGAGCGCAAACCTCATTCAACGAGTGACACAAAGCTTCCTCTCCCAACGACGCGTATATAGTCACAACAGTCACGTTCCTCCTGAAGCAACCCTAAAGAATAAACAAAACCATTAGAAACACAAAAGTAGAACGTAAAACCGTTCGAATCGGAAAGAGAAACAAACAAACACCTGCAGTGCAATAAACCAACGGTCTCTGGTGTCAGCGTAGATAGCCACGCGCTCTTCCCTGCGGTGACCGAGCATGGCCAAACCGGAGGCGAAACTGGAGACGGATTCAAAGACTTCGCCGTAGGTGAGCCACTTGTATTCTCCGAGTTCAAGCTTCTCTATGATTCTACCGTCCGCAGCTGTATCAGTGTCACGCTGGATAAGAATGCGCGTGCCGAGCAAGACGCGCTCACGGTGCTCCCTGCATGCGCTCTCGAAGAGCTCCGCAAGCGTCGCCACGCCCTGCCACGCCGAACTCAGCGGCGAGGCGAAGCGGTGGTTCCGCACCGCGAAACCGGGCTCGCCGGCGGCGTCAGCGGCGGGCAAGCCGCGGCGCTTGCGGTTGGCGGAATTGCGGCTGCGGTAGAGGAGGACGATGAGAGGAACGACGAGGCCAGCAATGTAGGCGTTCATCGTTGATCCAATCAGGTCGATTCGAAGCAACGTGATCGGAGGAAGCGGTTATCGGTGTTTTCAGAATTCGGAGGAACGAATCGTGTGAGAGAGAGAGTGTGGTAATGAAGTTGCGTTGGAATCAAAGGAAGTGGGAAATGCTGTGAATGTGATGGTTACTGACTGCACCGAAGCGGAGAGTCCAAAGGGAAATCAGATTTGGAATTTTAGAATCTCATACGGTTACTAGTTTGTTACGGTTTGTTACTGGTTACTTATATATATAATTTTTTTTTTCACATTAATTTTAGGTTTATGCAAATAAAAACAAAATTACTACCACTCTCAAATAAATTATACTGTTCTCAAATTTTTAACTAACTGTATTCAACAACTAATCCAAACTTCTTACCGGTTCAAAACATTGTAACGACTATAATAATGTTAAATCATTTCAATTGTACCTCTAAATTTACTATAGTAGTCATAACTGATTCAATTTAACTATATTGAAAAATGATAATCGAAGACATTAAAAATCTGGAAAAAAAAATATTGGGTTGATCATATTTCATATTATAAGTTGAAAATTGATCTAACTCAAACTAAATAAGTCTGTTGTGTAACTGAAATTATTCAATAATTAATTACATGTCCGTGTATTCAAAAACTAGTACAAATTATATTTTTGTTCATTGTTGTGTATTTCTTATTTAGAAGATTATTCTTACAATTGGAATGACACTTTTAACTATGTCATGAGTTATACATGAGATGCAACTTTTGATTTTTTACTAATTTGAGTATCTCATTATTTATTTTAATATTTGCATACTCTTTTTCAAAGATCAAAAGCCAATATAATTTTACTCACATGATGTGGTTATAGCTAGTTGACAAATAGTCATATATATTGTGAAGGATTTAATCCACATGTCTATATACATGAAAAAATATTTATTTAAAGATGTAAGCATCCTAAATAAAATTTCAAATGATATTAATCTTTAGTTTTTTACCAAAGGATACTCTACATAACATAAAAGAAAACAATTCAAAATGAAATAAATTGTTTTTGGATAGGTTTTAAAAGTAAACTAAATGAATGATCAAAGGAAGAACGCTATGATTGATTATATGATTTTCAAAACCAACTTATTTCTACTTTTACCCCAAGCAAATTAATATTGTGACATATGTGAAACATGCAAACTATTTTATATTTGAGCTAGCATGTGTTCATACAATACACAATTTTTTTAATAATTTGATTAACTATTTTTAGAGTGCCCTTGATAAAATGAAAAAAAAAATTATATTGAAAAATCATAATCTCGTATGATAATTAAAAATGACTAAAATTTATTTGATTTGTCATAAATATTTTTAGGTGTGTATATATTTCTTAAGAATAAAAAAATTATACATTAAGTTTTAATAAAACTTTGTTAACAGCTTTAATTATTTATTAAATTAAATGAATTCACGATGATAACCCAATATTTTTATCATAATAAAAAAATTATGTTTATACCATAATAAAAACTTTATTTAACTTGAGAAAGTTAATTTTTCAAATTTCACATAAGAACAATTTTGTAAAAAAAATTCTTATGAAACATTATTTACTAGTAATAATATTTTTAAATAATAAGTCAAATAAAAAAAATTAACATTTCTGACATGAGATTTTAAGGAACTAAAAAAGTTGTAACTCAACCACTCTTTTTGGTGTATTTTTTATATATCATTTTTTTACCTCCTCTTCAAAGTGTTTTGTTATTAGTAGGTGGGAGGTTGGCTTTGACATCTCGAAAAGGGCAACAAGAAAAAATTATTGGAGGTGATTCAGACAAAAAACAAAAGAAGAAAGAAAATAGGGCAACAAGATTCACATTCAAGTTGGATGGTTTTTTTTTACCACACAACAAAGAAAAGCATTAAGGTGAGGAAATCATCAACTTTAACATTTTTTTAGTACAAGACAAAAAAAAAGCCTAACTATTTAAACCAAGCCTGAGACTTAGAGGGATTTTGAAGGAAAATCAAGTTTTAGGGTCAGATTGTGGCACTGGTTTTGGTGGCTTTTTCAAAAGCAACTTTGTTTTTTTTCTTTGGGTCAACAAGTAAACTCCAAATTGAAAACCAGATAGTTCAGAAGTTGGTCGTGGGCCTTAGCAATACTTGGGTTGTCTTGTACGCGACCGAGGTGCAAAAAAAGGTAAGAGGTACGTCATAGTTGAAGAATGATAATGGAAATGAATGAGACATGTCCAAACTCACCTTTGGAGGCTGTTTTGGTTGAGTGTTATGTTTTTGTTTAAATATAAAAGCAAAATGAGAAACGGAAATTGATTAAATAAAACAAATAAATGTAATTATAAATGACAAATAAATTTTTTAATATAAAAAAGTTCTAAATATTTTTTTAATTGTGGTCAAAATCCTACTTTCTCTTACAATTTTTTCACTAATTTGGAAAGTTGAAGATGGGTATTATAAAAATAAAAATAAAAAAATAAAAACTCTTTCTTCAATATTATAAACACAAGAAGATTTTTTGGGAGGTATGTGCATTTTCAATAAAACTCGAATAGAAGTCATAGTTCTGGTAAAAGGTTTGAAATTTTTTTAAGAGAAGGTATTTTTTATTGTATATTTTGAGTGATATTTCAAAGGAGGTATGTTTATTTAATTAAGGTTTAGAAAATTATTATAAATTAATTTAATTTTTATCTAAAATATATTTTGATTAAGTTTGGTCTTCCTGACTTGGTTATTTAGACTAAGTCTCCCTTTAACTTTGTCTTCTAAGAATTATTGTTACCTTATCTTCTTAATCTATTAACTTGATCTAAGATAGTTTTGCGAAATAATTTTTCTTTTCATATAAATACAACATTTCATAAAGTTTTATTGGGTTTTTCTCTGCACATCTTTTGTTATCAAGCTTTTGGGTTATTCTCACAAATAAAATTTGTTAGTTCTTATACTTCAATCACTATTAAAAAAAACATGTTATATTTTGAGGGACTTGTGCATCATGCAAATCAATTTTTAAGGATAGTGTTATCACACATCTTTGGTTATTTATAATTATAATTATACAAGTTCAAAGTTATAAGACAATTTGTGATTTATGATTGATCTTAAAGACAGATCATGATTCTCGAAGATGGATAATAATGTATAATAATCTTAAAGACTTATTGTTATTCATGAAAAGTTTTAGCAATTTTTGTGTTTTACTGAGCCAAGTTTCCTTTCCCTAATAGAAGCATTGATTGGTTGTTATTTTTGATTGCAATAATAATAAGGAAACTGTAACAAGTCCCACATCGGGGAGGTCTCCTTACCAGGGAGGCCTTATAAGGCGGGAGGTTCTCCAACCTCTTGGGCCGGCTTTTGAGGGATGGTTCCCCTCCTTAGCCTTATGCTCGTTACAATGGTGCTCTCGTTGAGAGCCAGCCAAATCGAGAAGGGCTACCCACGGAGGGTTCTGACCATCGGAGGGTTCTGACCGGCAAGAAGGCCGAGTGAAGTGCCGGTGAGTGAAGTACCGTGGAGTGCAGCCATCGAGGACGCTGGCTTTCGAAGGGGGTGGTAATGTAACAAGTCCCACATCGGGGAGGTCTCCTTACCAGGGAGGCCTTATAAGGCGGGAGGTTCTCCAACATCTTGGGCCGGCTTTTGAGGGATGGTTCCCCTCCTTAGCCTTATGCTCGTTACAGAAACAGAATTGGTAAAAGAAAATGGGTGCAATTTTGCTAGGTTTGCAGTCCCCTTTCTCACTACCTCACTCTCTTCTTAATTTTACGGTTGCGTCTCACCTCAATGTGGCGAACCATACGTTGATGAGTTCCTCGACTTCAAAGCATCGCTCATGTTAACCCCTTTCAACAAGACCAACCCGTGTCGGTTCCATTTGCTGACGTGTTAGATGAGGAAAGGTATTTGTGGGCTACATAACAATCTTGTTTGAGCATCCATTACTTAAGGTGTATGATTCGCGAGGATATATTATAACTTATGTTGATTCTCATAGAACATGCTCCTACGCAACTACCTATCACGATGCACTTATTTCTGCATGGAAAACCAACCCTTTTAGGATAGGAATCACTAGAATATCAATTGGAGGAATGCATGCATGGTTTGTTACAATTGTTGATACTCGTTGATCACTATGCTCTAATTGTTCCTCTGGTTGACGTTTAGGAATTTTGGTGGGGCCATAGAAAACATTAAATGGCATGCTCGAATTGATGATTTAAGCCTCCTTTTGAGTTGGCTCGTGATGATTTGGATAAAGTGTTATCGACAAAGAAGTAGTGGAGAAGGTGTGGGCCCAAAATTGCTCCTGGATTATCCTTGCCACAAATTAGATAGTCATCATGTGCAATTGGTTGATACCTTGTACAACCAAATAAAGGTATGTTATTCCTTTTAATTTTTAATTTGTGTATAATATTGAAGGATAACAGGTAGTCTTGCAAATTGATTTAAAAGACAAGTGAAAATAATCAATTGAGTACAACAACAATTAATTAATTGTCATCATTTTAATAAAGTGAATGACAAGCAAGTTTAAATTTGATTTTGATACATGATTTTTAGACTAAATTAGACTTGTAGTTTTGGTGAGCACTTTAAGTTGAGATGTGATATGTGTAAGCAATGTGAGTTTAAAAGAATTGAGGCAAATCTATGATATAGAATTAGTAAGATTTAAAAATTTTGGTGTAAGTTTGTTAATGACTATGATTCTTGGAAAGAACACACAAGCAAAAAGAGATAAATGAAACTTATAAGAGCTGGAAAAAAAATGAGGACTTGATAATTTGTGTATAATATTTTAGGTTTTATTGGACTCTTCTCTACACATCATTTTTTTTTCTATCAAGCTTTAGAGTTATTCTCATATATAAAACTTATTAGTTTTGATATACCCTAATCACTATTAGGAATAGCCTGTTATATCTCTGAAGACTTACACATCACACAGATAAGTCTTTAAGGAT